CCTGTGCCTGATTCAGCACCTCTAGCTCCAAAGAGCAGGGGCTTTGCTCAGAACAGGAACTGGTTAGTGTGAGTGTGTGTGTGTGTGTGGGGGTGGTTGGGGGGGGGGGGTCATTGAGGTCTGCAGCCCCCCATCCTGCAGCCCCCCACATCCTGCACCCCTCAGCCAAGCCAGATACTCAGTCCCTGAACGCTAGAGGAGTCTATTGTTGGCAACAAGGAGTCAATAACAGATAAGAAATGAAGGGAGGCTGGTGAGAGAAGCTGAACAGCAAAACGTTGCCATCTAGTGTCAGTCAAACAGAGGAGAGAGCCAGACCTGGTCATAATCACCCTCAATACAGCGGTTTCTTTCTCTCTCCCTCATTTTCAGCTGTGTCACCACTCCTCCGTGTTTGCCACTCATTCTCTCCTTCTGTTTGTCTCTTTCTTTCACTTCAAGAGATGCCCTCCCCGTGGACCGAGAAGGGGCGGAGAAAGCTAAAGAGAGAAACACGGGAAATGAGCAATTTGAATGAAGCTACCACTTATTGTACAGCTGTTGGTTCAGCCCCTTATCTTGTCTTGTTCTGTGGTCTTTGGGTAGGTACATTGTTTAGGGCACCAAGCAGTCTTACTGGCAACACTGGTTTTGTTTCATTGCTATTAGAGAACAGTGCTCCTGGAAAAAAAACAAAAAACACCGAAACATTGTTGACTGCTTCTATTAAAAACCTTGGCCACTTAACATAAAATGTATAACAAAGAAATAATGGTGACTAAATTAGTTGTTCGTGTGAAGAAAAGAGCTGTCCTTTTTTTTTAAAGCGCAAATGTCCCCACAATAAAGACATTATAAAACCTGCTAAATCAAGAACACCACTTTCCAGAATTCATCACAAAATGTTTGAAAGACTAAATTTACTCATGACTTTAGTTGTAATTGAAAGCATTGATGTGTTTATGCTGTCCTATGATGTGGATAACTTGATCGTGACTACTGCCAAAATAGTGACATCACTGGTCTATGTGTAAACAAAACTCGCAGCTCCCCTTCATGACAATTTAAGGTCGTCATTGTGACAACACCTTGGACCATCTGTGTGCCTGCTCTCCCTTCTGCTTCACTCATCATCTATACTCTCACTACTACCCGTACACAGACTCTCCTCTGACTGTATAAAGTGGGCTTTTGTCTACAGATAAACTCTGTTGAATGGCGCTTGTGTGAGATTTGTGCAACCACACCCCACAAAAAAAAGGACGAGCTGAAGACGATGCTTAAAGACTTTCAGTGAGCCAAGATTACTGTGAGTGCAAACATGGATTTCTAATCTCTGTGTGAGATTATTCAGTGTCTAACATAGTGTCAAACAACTCTAGACTAGTATGGATTTTTTTATGCCATATTGTTACAAACATCCCACAGGTGCCTGGACGTGCCATGCTGTGCCCAACACGCACAGAACACAACTGCTGCTCCTCCCTTCTGAAAACAACTCCAAGAAAATGTCTGAGATTCCTTTCTTTACACTGATACTACCACACACTTCCAAGAAAATGATAAAGAACCTTTACTTTCCTATGAGCTGTTTATTTATCAAATAAAGTTAGGGATGTCTTCCAAATGTAATTTCCTAAACATTTCTTAAACTGTTTTATCTTTACTCCCTTTTGTTGAATCACAGGATAGATTAAATACAGCATGTTGTCAGAGGGACAATTTCCACCAGCCAAAGTCTATCGGCTGATTGGACAGCGTTACTTTTACAGCATCCATTTGACATTTACAGCACAAAGTGGCACTGAACTGGATCATTCAGAAATGCTGAGACTGGTCATGCATCCCATTCATATATTCACAACGTCGCCCCCGGGAGCTTTCAACATGCACTCGAAGCACTCAGCCCACTGAAGTGCTGCAGCTGGCACCAGCCAGCAAAGCTCTCTTGCAAACTAGCTGCCAATCTAAAGAGAGAAAATACCTCCTCCTCTGACCAAAACTCACCACAGCCTTTTCATTTTCATGCCTGGCAGTAGGCACTTTATCATAATGTTTGACTGACAACAATGTTGACTGAGAACATTCAAAACTAAATATAATTGCAAAAGCGGTGAACGTTCTCTTTTACAGAAATCACCAGATAGGATTCAGGAAAGTTTCAGATGGAAGCAAGATTTAACTGGGACACATTTGATGAGTCTTTACTACAGGCTTGACATGCATTATGAACACCTATCTGTTTAATAAGGCACATTTAAGTCAACTTTGAAAGAGGATTAGCTGCCAAATACAGCATTACACTTGTGATGTAATCTGCTTGAGTGACTATTCCTAAAAGAAAAAATGTCATTACGCAAGTGTGACCGTGCAAAGTCACATAGACTAAGCACTTTCAGAATCAGCTAATCCTAGCGGTTCAGGATTCATCTGAAGTTATGCACCGGTCGAACTGATCTCTCAGATAAAAACACAGTGAAAACACTGAAGACTTGTCATTTTGTTCTGCTGTTTTTGCCACCCAATCCCCAACACAACCACCTTGTCCCCCAACCATACACACACACACACAGCCCATACCCCCTCCCCCTGGTCACTTTGCCCCGTCTCTGGACCTCCCTGCTCTGGCTTGACTCCATCATCCCCTTAGTCACCTCCCCAGTGTAAGCCCCTCACATGCGCGCACACACACAAAACTATCTCTTCCCCCCCTGTTACTGGGGTCCTTCCCTAAGCCTGAGGAAAATGGCCGTCACGGAACTCCGCTAACGGGAGGCCTCCCCTCAACCACAGCCCAGGAGTAAGGAATGAGAGAGAGGAAGAGTGCAAACGTATTACTGCTGCAATATTAGCTGATGGAGGGAGCCGGGGGGGGGGGGGGGGGGCTGAGGGAAGAATGGGGGGGACTGCGGTGTGAGCATCGACCCACAGAACACTCTCCCACATGTGGAGTCAATTAGAAACAATCTTGTTTTCTACCCACCGCTGCATAAGAAAGGAGGGTTTTCTAGTGTGAGAGAGTTTGTGAGTGTGTGCGTACATACATACACAACCAAGAGAGTGAAGTAGGAAAGAGAGTTAAGAGACCCTGTTTTTCCTTAAACCTGCCAGAAAAATAAGCCGGATATTAGGTTTTATATCGAGCCATTTTGAGCACAACCAGCCTGCACCTCAGGACTTCTGTCGCTGTTCACCCTCAAATGAGCTTGACTTCAGAAAACCGTGAAGTGATTGCAACAACAAAGCAAATGACACTCAAAGTAAAACATCAGCCCTCTGGGACTCTGCATGCATGCACACATGTCACATATGTGCGTGCTGTTCTGCATCCCCACACCTCTCATCATGCACATCTAGTGAGACAGAAGCGTCACTACTGACTCCACATGGAATTCCAGACTCAAACAAAGTCACAGGCCACTTCCTTGGTGTTACAAAAGAGGAAGTCTCCCTTTTAAAAGATTCATGGCTGCGTCAAGCTTGTATCCTCTTTCAAATTGTTGTGTTTAGATAATTTTCATTATTCATTGGTTTCAAGATTGATGCCTCCAAGTCTGGTGGGCGGCCCGGCATAAACAAGTGTCTGCAATGCTTTTGATTTATCTGGGCAAGATCAAAACGAAAGGCACAAAACAAAGGTCCATTGCTTTTGACATCTGCATCAAAGGGGCATTAAAACAATGATTCTTTTAACATTTTAAGGGGAGGTTTGTTTGATTTGAAAGGGTAAGAGACTTCAAACATTAGCAAGGCGTGCGGGGAATAGGCATGTCTGACCCAAATCTCACCTCAAACGCAGGTGTGAAGGTGAAGGCCATTACGCAATGAGGGAGTCAGGGCTGCCACGCCACCATGGGGAGCATGCACACACTTAGTGATCATGGCTGTTCACATTCCATTTATAGCACAACAAAAAAAGAGACAAGAGCTAAACCACATGATAACCACATCTCAATATGTCCTGCAACAAGTCTGGCATGTAAGCAAAGACGACCTTTAACACTGTAGGAACCCAGACTGCTTCTTTCCCAGAGGGCAGCCAGAGAGTGTGAACCACACAGGAGAGACATGACCGGTAGGAATGTGCGATTTGTGTGTGCATGAGAGGCTCGATCAGGAAAAGAGAATAATATTTAACATGACAAGTTAGGGGACAGTGCTTGTTAAATTTCTTTACTGCATGAGTGCAATAATCATTTTGATCGTGTGTGTGTGTGCTGGTACCTTCATATGCATGTGAACAAATATGAGAGCTAACCATCAGAGTCCGCCTCCCCCTCAGGGCTCTATGGGGGAATATGAACTTACCCATTTCACTTGTATCACCTGACAAGTCCCCCTTTAGAAACAGCAGTTGAAAAAAGAACTAAAGGCTCAAGGCATCCAAAACGCCAGTCCTTCTAGATGTTGTGTTAAGTAACACAAGCTCGATGATAACAATAAAAAAAGATAAACTAGCTTACAGAGGGCCGGGTGTTAAGGTAGGTACACACCAAACTGACCGTCAGGGGTTGGAGCATGTCAGGACTGTCAGAGAAAGTCAGAGGTTATGGAAGGCGTGGTGTGAACTGCTTTTCTCCCAATTCAACATGTAGAATTGGCGGCGACCATTCAGAGAGAGAAATCACTGATTAGCACTTAGTCAGAAACTTCAGGCACAAGAAGGAAAACAAATTACAAGTCTACAGAAGTCTCTTTGGCAGTAGGCTGCTTTTTGAATTTACCTCAGGATCAATAAATGATCTTTCTGTTTGGTTGGTGTGAACAGCACATTTGTTGGCCCGACAGCCTGGGACAAAACACGCAGAAGTTGGTTTTCATCGCAGCTTGTTCTTTGTTGTCAGTTTGGTGTGTACTAGACTTTAGAGGGGGGAAAAAGTTGGTTTCTGGAGAGGTCTCCACCTCCCACTGGGCACTGGACGGAAGTCAATGAACTAATGCAACTCAGACAACACAGCAATCAGAGAAGACAGGGAGTAAAGTGCATGAGTGTGCATGTGTGTATGTTTGTGTCTTCTCACCAGCTGGACGTAAGCTACTTTATAGTCAGGCTGCTTAACCTTCTGGTTAAGGTGATTCCTCTTCTTGTTGGAGCCTGAGAAATACAAAAGACTGCAGGTTAAAAATGTGTCTTCAAACAAAAGATAAATCATGGGAAAATTCTGGGTTTTAGATGGCAGAGACTTAGACTACTGATAGTGAAAAGAAAATGGGTATGGTGAGAGAAATGTTGTGCAATATCAAAATTTACAGTCAGATGATAGAAATTTAAAATGTAGTATAGACCAGTGGTTCTCAAACTTTTTAGACTGCGTACCACCTCCAAAGATATTTGGCTCTCCAAGTACCACCATTATGGTAGACGTTAAAATACACTGTAGGCCTATTTCTACACACATTTTACGCAGGAGGCAAATATATTCATAAAATAATATTATTTTTTATTGACTGCTGGCAGCCACACTGTAGGACTACTAAGGGCTAGCGCTAGAACTGGCACTTAAACTCCACACAACTCTGACATTTGACCAAATCAAAAAAAGTGCAGCACAATAAAAATGAAAACTTTACGCCAACAACATGTTTGAGAATATTTAGTCTCCAGTGTTTCCCACACAAAGATGATACCTGGGCTCAAGTATATTTCCGACCTGTTCTTATTTAACTTTTCATTTGTTCATAAAATTGCTGCATTCACGAGAGAGAGTGAGCAGGGGAGAGAGAGAGCATGTGAGAGAGTGCAGGCTCCTCGCAACCAGAGCCTCTGTATTATAAGTCTCTGCGTTCAACATAGCAAAACTCCCTTTAAAAAAAAAAATCCTTCTCGACTCTTGTGCATAGCTAAGACAGTAAAATAGAGCAGAATCACATCAGCTTCAGAGCAAGAGAGATAGAGAGGGTGAGCGACTGTCCATACACTCTTGTAAATGCATCACAACAGAAGCATCTCCTGCTCCGTTTTAAAAATGTTAATGTACAGCTGCTTGCTGCCGATTGTGTGCTGATCTCCAATAAATAACAGAATACATGTAAATGTAGGCCTATAGCTGCTTGCTGTTGTTTCAGTACTGAACTATAACGGAATATCGAGTGGAACTATTCAAAACGCGAGGCGCACTCCTGTTGTTGTTTATGTCTGTGTGCGAGCATAAATTGAGAAGATTAAAGTCAAACATGACTTATTATATTATTGTCTCTATCCACCTCTTTAGAATATGTGTCCTCTGCAAGGTCAGTGCATGTGTGTTCAAAGTGTCTGCTCTCATACAGTGTGTTATGTACACTCCTTATTTTTTCAGTAAACTTTAAAACTCCACAGGTTCTTCCCGAAGTACATTGTTGTAAAAGGTAAAGTAACATGTAGGAACTTGTGTTAAAAGTAGGAACACTTTCACTTTTTAGGACAGCTTGCTTCAAACCCACAGCTGTTGAAGGGCGATGCCACCACAGTTATGGCGGCTTGTCAAGTGTTTTTTCCCTAGATCGGTCTGTAGACATTGATTCCCATGTTTCACTGGAAAACTTATAAAGGAAGCATAAAAAAGTTAAAATTGAAAGATTAGTGTATCTTGATTAGTTGATAATCAAATTTCAATAATTTCTTTATCAATATATAAAATGGTAAAATGCTTCTAAGCTATCATTTCCCTTCCAAAAGTTGGGCAGAAATCACCATTTAATAAAAGGAAATCACCAGAAGAGTTTGGAGAGAGTGACAGAGGGTATGAAAACAGAAGAGAGAGAAAGTTGCAGCAATACAGGCGAGACAGCTGGAGTTGGAAGATCAATGTCAACAGAAAAGAAAGTTGAGTATAGAAAAGATAAGGAAGTTTGGCTCGGGTAGGTAAATCAATGACTTGTTATTCTTTTAGATCAATTGCTTTTTGCATCAGATCAGTTTATTAACAGCCATTAACTTCTTGACTGATATTTTCTTAATCTAAAGTTATGTTCCTGGGCCCCTTTCGGACAGAATAATCAAAGATGACAATTATTTGTTTCATGGCGAATTCATGACGAATTTCATGCCAAATTCAATAGTGCGATTCCTAATGTTTTAGAAGTTAATCTCTGGGTGACAGACAGCAAAAGTAATGAAGTGCATTTTGTTAAAGTTTTTGTTACATTATCACCTAAACAAGAGATATTTTACTTTTGAATATTTTTCATCACCCTTTGTAACACAAAGTGCTTTACATGCACGGTTTAGTCAAGCTATGGCTATAGCGCGATAAGGCCATTAAATTGGGCTACTGTCCTTGTCCCAGTATTCAAGCATCAGGGGAGATTTAATTTATCGATGGGTGTATGTCCTACTCTCCTATGGTAGGTGGTGAAATGCCCCCATTCAGCTAGTTGCTACTGGGCCTTCTTCCATTTGACCCATTAGGCCACATACCAAAAAAGTTGGCAAGCAGCAAACTGTATGTCAAACAGTGAAAACATGGACAACTTTACACCTCTGTACAGTTCAGCTGTGACAACTTAAACTATGTCTCTGTCCATAAATGTTTTCGGTTCTCGAGCCATATTGATACCTTCATCTTGTTTTCCTTCCAGCTTTCTTCTATGCGTTTAAACTGGTGGGCTTTGAACCCCGACTATTAAAGGTGTGCATGCAAAATTTAAATTTAAATCCCAACCGCATAGTGTGTTAGTCTGACTTCGACCTGGTACGACTACGACTACAGTCGGACTAACATGCTTACATGTGTTTTTAATGTCCAGTCTCATTCTGAAGACCCCAGTGAATCGACTTTCTTAACATCATGTATGTCTTGTAGTGAAGCAGAGACTGATTTTATTGACTATGAAAGGCAGGTTAACTTCTCACCCAGCTTGAGATGACATCCCCTGTCCTATCTGACCTCACCAAGTCTGGAAGACTGAGGACTGTGAGTGTGTGAGTGTGTGAGTGTGTGAGTGTGTGTGTGTGTGTGTGTGTAGGCTTGAAGTCCGGCTTCAAAAAAAGAGGTACTTATCTCAATCTTTATGTTACAACAAAAAACTCTATCATTGATGGATAACGAGCAGAGCATCAAACACTTCCTCTCAGCCTGAACTCTAATCTCAATGAGACCCTGGTGGTCAAGTCAACAGGCCCTTTGAGAAACTGCCATTGCCATGGGAACAGTTTATGACATGAAAAACAAGAGAAACATTCCGCTATAATGAGTCATTTGTGTGTGTGTGTTACTATGTGTGTCTGTGTGGTATGTGTAGCTATAATCACTAGCCAAGCAGCCCACTGCTCAGGGAAAGCCCTGAGCAGGGTTGTAAAACACCCCCCTCCACGCCCCCCTGGCTAACTGGAGGCCCCTGTGTGGGTGGGAGACAGAGGTAACGAAGAGTGTGCCTCTGTGTGTGTGTGTGTGTGTGTGTGTGTGTGTGTGTGTGTGTGTGTGTGTGTGTGTGTGTGTGATTATTCAGGAAATCAACAGGGAAATGGTTCAACCTTTGAAGGAGCAACGTAAGGCAATGAACCCACCGCACCCCATAAACCAAAAACACTGAGACAAACTTGAACAATCGTACATCTTGAAAAGGTACAGAGTGTGTTTCTTTGAATTCAAACAACCCTTTCCTAACAGTCACACAGACAGAGCTTTCATGCAACATTCGCAAACGCAAGCACAATTTCTCCCACTTTGAGATTGCGGTTTGGCAGGCAGCTATCATGTTACAAATCCCTGGCCGGAGGGGTAACCTTGGCAACTCCTTCCAAAATACCCCTGCCGCCTATGGAGGAAAGAAAGGGTCGTTTGCGCCCCTCGCTCTCCTCTGCCTATTCCCGTCTTTACGCTGCCAATTGAGTGGAACTCCTGACGCAGACAGGGATACCTTCTCTGACGCACCTCAGGATCAGAGAGGGGCCCTGAGCAGCCTATTTTACTTTATCCCCCTCTGTCCCTCCACAGCTAACTGCTTTCCTTCCACCCACCCTCCCGAGGGGTTTTCCTTTTCCCCTAGCTTTTAATGACACAACCCTAATAAACAGTGTTAATGGGTACTCCACACTGTAGGCTAGGCTAAGCTAGGCGCCTCTCTCTCCTCCTCCCTCACAGACTCTCCTCCAGAGGTATAGGGGGCTCCTCTTGGCCCTTCAGGCGCTGCACAGAGGGGGCTCATGCATACTCATCTCAGCTGTTCCTTGACATCTCTTCAACATCAAGCCCCCCATATGTCCAGTCCTTCTGTTCTTTCATCAACTTGCAAATTCCTAGACTTGTTGGGAGACCCTAAATCAGTCCTTGCAAACTTAAGCAATTTCCTCCCCCATAAAAAAGGGGATTAAGTCAGTGATATTGACACTGTTTGCTCTATGATTATCCTTGTCACAGGGGCAGAGGGGATGGGGCAGTTAGGGCCTTGAAGATGCAAGTTTGTAAGTGAATAATATGTGTTTGCGTGAAGGGAGAGTGAGGTGTCCTGGGACAGCTGGAAGCTGGAATGCTGCAGCGGCAGATTGTCCGATAAGCAGCTGTGTGTGTTAGGAGAAGGAGAGCCAGGCACGCTAACCACTACCGCAACTAGCCGCTGGAAAACACTCCCGCTGCTGCATGTCAATGGGAAGACGGTCTACACCACGGGCTAAAATTGCTAATCCACACTAACCACAGCTTAAAGTCTAAAACACAGAAACAATTTGACTTTCTGCTTCCTAAAACAAAAACAAAAAAGACTTTCTGTGAATCACATACGGAAAAAACAAAATTCAATACACAAATCAATCAACTGATTGAAAATGGTGTAAAAAAAAAAAAAATAGCTTAAAATTTTGAGGATTTAGTGTGAAGGTAATTTCTTTTGGACAAAAATAGCAATTAAACCTCACATTCAGTCTTCAGGTATAAAAACTATCTTGTCACAAATAGTTTCACAACATTTTTTTTTCTTGGTTTTAATATCTTAGAGCCATAACTTTTCACAAACAAAATACACTAATTAATTTATATACACCATTATACAGACCATTTCCATAAACTCTGTGACACCATGTTTGTAATGTAGCAGGCATCCATAAGCAATAGGGAGATAATGCAAATTGTATAATATTATGGTTTTAACTGATGCTATAATACAATTTTCTGTTACAGAAGGATTTTCTTGCTTACAATATTTCAAAACAGCCGCCTCCTGAATATTTCGTACAGCCCCAGAGTATGACGGAAGCTTTCATGAGGAACACTGTTTTCCAGTGCCAACACTTGATGAACTGGTTATTTATAACTGTAATTACGGCATTGCATCAATTTGGTGGTGGTGGCACTGTATCGCAATCACTCCAGTGCAGACAGCATTCCTGGAATTGGCAGTAAAAATTAACTGCTTTAAAAAAGATATACAAATTTCAAGTAGAGCCCGGCCGAATAATTGTGTGGCCGATATTAGCATATCACGTGACTATCAGCATTGGTTAATTTAATCTTCAATATGCGTCGATATTACTAGGTTTATTTGATTGAAGTTTCTCATTGTTATTTCTGATTGCTCAGTAGAAAATAGTGTTTCAGTGCACTTTTGTTATTCTGGATAATAAAGGCTTTTGTTCAAGTGTGTAAAAAAAAAAAAAAATCTTGTCTTTTTTAATATCTTTTTCACAAGTGTTTAATAACTTCATTTTAGGGATCATTGCCATAAATGTGTCAGTATATCTATATCTATTTAGGATGGAAGACATAGCCAAGAAAGATATCGGCTGAAAAATTGTTATGGAGTTTTTTTCTCCCTAGCATCGGTTTTGTATAGGCCCCAAAAATTCCACATCCGACGGGCCCTAATTTCAAGTACGCATGCCCACCCCTTGTTTCTTTACTTTGTGGTTAAAAATTAAAGAAGTAACATTCTGCCAGAGACTGTTTGTGAAGGCAGAGTTTTAACCATGTGTTTGTTTGAGACTTCCTGTGCACCATTTTCTTAATTTACTCACTCCAGCTGCCATTTGACTTTCATTTGGATGAAATGTTTGTGGCTTGGTACAAGTGTCCAAAAATCCAGAGTTTTCATCACTGCCTTAACACCCTCTCTCTCAGCAGTCTGTAGTGGCTCCATGTTTGTGCAGTCATAATGTGTTCAATGTTTCTCTACCACAGGCTCTCCTTGACATAAGCTCGAAGAAATAGACAATAATGTCCAAATGACCTGAAAAAAATCTCTTTTCATGTTCGAATGTGTCTGAACATTTAGAAGTCTAATTGTTTGAATGAGAACAGAAAACATGTCCAAATAAAAACATACTGTATAATGTTACTAGTTCTTCACATTATGTGAATAATAACTGTGTGGGCTCGAGAGAGAAAAAACAATCTTGTTGAGTAGTTTCCCACGATCAGTAAGTCTACAAAAAATACAACAATTTTATGAGGTATTGTAAAGCACTCCAAGTTCTGAAACAGGCCTCTGTATGTGCTTGTGCAAAGCAGTGCAAACTCACCAAACTGTATCCTAGTGCGAACTGCTCCTACAGGGACGTTGTAGATCTTCTCCAAGTAGTTCTTCACATCACACTTGGTCATTCTGAAAAGATAAATCCAGAACAGTCAGATAAGAGAAAAGAATACAAATAGCAAGGGAAAAAAGAGAAAGTAAAGCAAGGGTTATCCAAGGGAACCAGCATCAGTGTTTGCATCGGGTAAGTGGGTAAGTAATGGTTTGAATGACTTTGAATGAGATTACATTTCAGAATCAGAAATACTTTATTCGGGAGGGGTTAGATAAGGGAGTAAAGGAGGATATCTGAGGTTGCAGTCCAGAACTCACAGGTCATATGCTGGATATCTCTCCATCAAGTTACATCACATTCACTCAACTGATACAGATATAGACAACATACCGCATTTCCACACTCCATTTCGATAAACTCGGTATATTTCGTACTGTAAAAGACAGGAAGCTCCCCTATAAACCCATATTCAGCTTTTGTTCCTAAACCATAAAGTGGAGAGAAGAGAAAAGAGAGTGTCAGTGTTCATCCAATTAGCTGTCTGTATGTATTGATCGCGCCCAGTGAAACCCTACACAGGAAGTGGGCCTGGCACCAAATGATGCTATGGGCCAGCCCAGCTAAAGCTAGCCCACTGGGCAGCATTTGGAACAGATCACTCCGACCAGAGGAAGAAGAGCTTTTAACTGCTAATCAATCTCTAGCCAATTGGATTAGGCTGGTAGAGAGCACTTCCCAAATGCTTCCGACAAAGTGCTTAATAGCGACGCTGAGGTCTGACGTGAGTGCCTCGGATATGGCGTCTATCATCTCATATGTTTCTTTGATAGAAGAGGATAATGTAATATTCTCTCATTTTCAGAGAAAACAGCACAACACCTTGTGCTTTTGTAACAATATTAGGTGAGGCAAACAATTTCATGAGAAAAACCCATCTATGAACACAAAGACTCTTTGTACCTAAGAATGACGTAATATAGGTTTCCATTCAGTACAAACAATTGCCCTTCCAGTCCGTCAAAATTGGCAAAGCTGACACTGATGTAGACATATAACACTTCCATTTGACCTGCTGAGTACTGTTTATCGACAGACGTAAGCTTGCATTTAAAACAATTGGGTAACTATTTCCACATTTGATTCCATCGTTCCAAAAAGCTGGTTGGTTTGATGTGGTGATTCTTGAGTATGATAGGGCTTTTCTCCCAGACACCAACTTCAGGCAGCTGCCTTTAAGAGCCAAGAGAACCAAGCATTCACTAAGCTCTTCGTCTCAGCCCCAGTGCTGCTCCAGGACCACTCAGGGAGTGAGGAAGTGGGAGCTTCTTCACAACAGAGTAAAGAAAGGTGTAAACAAAATTGTCAAGGCCTCTTTGTCTCTTTTTTACCCAGTTGAGAGTAGTGAGGTGTGTTTCCTAAGATATTGCATGCAGATGTGCCTTTCTGCTTCATTTGCACCCATCTCCTCCCATAACCCCCCGTCTCACAGTGTGTGTGCCAGAGGGCAGTGAAGCAGAGCAGAGTGAAGGGGGGTACTTGAGATCAAGAGAGGAATAAAGACAGAGTGATTGCCCTGAGAGATGAGTTTTCCTAGAAAGCAGGGGCGGGGAACTGGGTTAGGAAAGTGGCTTGGGGATTGTGAGGTCTCCCCCGGATCATTAAGAGAGGGAACACTGATCCTGATTAATGAGAACATTTCTGCATCTAAATCCTACTACTCCTACTCCTATTATCCAGCCACCAGAAACATTGAGACAACATTTAAGAAGCATGTCCACCACATTCAAATATGTTCCCTTTAATAAGATACTGATGCCCACAAACATGCTTTATGAATGAACATTAGCTACTGTATGACTGCAAAACATATTCCTTCCAGTCATAGAGAAATGTAACAAACATTAAAACCTCTGGAAACCCAAATCCACATTAATCTTCTAGCTGAGTTATTTATATTAACAAACGCATAATATTAACCATCTAAATGTATTAGAGATGAGCTTCAGTCCACTTTTGAAATATGTTCAGTGCAGTTATTGACAATTTTCTCATGGGTGTGAAGTCGATGCGTAATGCTTGAAAATTCACAATGCAGAAACGAGGCCTGGAATCCAGTATGAAATAAAGCCTTGGGCTGGAAGCTGAGGAGAAAATGTCAAGTTAAGCGTGTACACAAACAAAGCTAAACTTAGACAAAGGGCGTGGTGTGGTCCAATAGTGATGCATGCAGCATCTGATCATCATCCGAGTATAAACACTCATCTGACTCCACAAGCAGGTTTTCATTCTTCCTGTGAGGCAGAAGTGTGAAAGGTTAGTCTTCAAGCAACTGCAAGGGCTAAATGAATCGTTCCTCAGCAACTGGTTTATATTTATATGCAAACAAGCATGCTACAAAGATTTCTCCTTCAAGATGATGAAAGAACTCCAAACATAAAACCATGAAGGGCATAAGATGACGCAGAGGATGGATTAGGTTCAATTATAGTCTGTTATTGTCAAGTAGGTTTAAAGCAGGCACAGTGCCTTCATTGTTGCAAAAAAAATGAAAAAAAAATGAAATTATATCGTTCTACATTGTTTGAGAGGAGGTGTAGAATGTGGATTTTTAAAAAAATCCAAATTTGATATCAAATTATTTTAAAAGAAACAGGCACAGCAAGGAACATGGTAACCTTTGTGCCTTTGTTTGTGCATGGCATTATGGCAGCTTCTCCAATTGAAGTCAAACCCACACACCTCTGTCAGCTGCTCTGAAAAGTAATCCCCCCGTGTGCTTTGAAACTACATTCTCCTGGATACTTCCTATTCTCAACTGCTGGCTGACTCACTGTGATTCAAGTAGATTGAGAATATCACTTCCCATTGAATAAGGCAGTCCAATTACACCTGTGTTGTTAAGGATTTGAGAGAAGTAGGTGAAAGGGCACCGTTGAAAAAGTGCAAGAAAGCTTTGACAGTCCCTGAAAATAAGGATAATGAATGTATTCTGATGGCTCAGAGACGACTGCATGCCACTTGTCTTTCAATGCTAAAAGAACATCTGCCAGGTGAATAGGTGGTGTCTCTGTTGTCCATAATGGATGCCCTTTACAGCCACCCAATAACCATGACCTCATAGACACAAACTTAGGCTAAACACATCTGGATTTTTGGCTGTATCATATTGTACTCAACTGATGTTCTTAGACAACAGATAGTTATCATTCAGTTATTTGTCTGGCAAGATATATTCAGTGTTAAGGGAGAGTAAAACAGCAGGGGGACTTTTAACTGTATGCATCACTTCCCGACAGGTGTTCTGAACTGAACTGTTTTTTAAGGCATTACATTTGTACCTAACTTTGATTGGGAACATGTTGACAAAAATGTGTACAAGAGAGGGAAAACGTCTGAAAGTTGGTTGGCAACATGCCATTTCCTGTCAAGCTGTTAAACTACAGTAGTAGTGTGGATAATACATGTGTCAGTGTCCAATACTTATAAATGTGTTAATGCTTTATTGCAGTTGGTGATTGGTGCTTCTAAAACTTTAAGTTGATGGGTCACTTTCAAAACATACTCAGTATTGCCTGCGTGTCAACAATGTCAATTCTAAAGTTGGTGAGAATAAACTTTAGGGTACAAAACAAGAGAATGACCTAAAAATGACCTGTAAAATTAACAGATATCTGACTATTGACTCTTTGGAAGGTAGCAATTCCACAAAAAAACTTTTATATACTCAACTATATCAATGTCATATTTTTCATATCCATATCCACAAAAACGCAAAGCTGGGGTTCCATGTGAAGCTCTGACAACAATGCCAGAGGCATGCGTTATGTTCCATTTGACAACCTTATCAATTGTGTATCTATGTTTCACTACATTAAAGCTTTTGCTGTACTCTGTGTATTGCTGCCACCTGTAGGCTTGAACCACAATTAATTATTTACAGAGTTGGAAGTCATACTGATGTTTTTTTCAAGTTCACAACAGACAGTTTGTTTTATGACAGGAAAATGCAAAAATGTGTTTTTAGTTAATTACATTCATCTCACTTAGGATTAGTGCTCATCACAGTGAGTCATGTTCAAAAATGGCATGTGCTCTTCTGTGTAAACTGAATGCCACGCAACAGTCCTTGCAAATTAGTAATCCCTACACCAATCATTTGATCCAAAGAATGGGGGTGTTGTCCTTTTTGTTTCAAGACAAACATGACTTTGTATAGGGATGATTCAGTGACCAGCATGCTTTTTGTGGCTACCATGAATCCTTTTTGGAAAGGTTGCTTGTTTTAGCAACTCAACTTGGCAAACCACTGGAAAGTTTTAATGTGGCTCCATTTTTGATACAAACTGGGCTGCATCTGCATTTGGGCTTTTTATGGTGCCATTTTGGTCAGCAGATAAACTTTAAGTATTACAAGGGAATGGAAAAGAAAAGGATGCAGCTGCACATAAAGGTGATGCAAAGTTAAAGACATCAAGTTCTAACTTAAGATCAGAGGAAAGAAAACCCCTCAACAATCCTCAAATATCCAGCATTCTTTTCCTGTAAGTGTTGACTTGTATTGCTCAAAATAAAATTTTCATTTTGATTCAAGCTAACACAGATGTTGAATTGTTGACAGATGTGGCCTTTTTTCTTTTTTCTTACTTCAACTGATAAAGCAAAATTAAGTGACAAGTGTTTCACAGGCTGTAGGTCATTCATGACTGACTGGAAGACACGACAACTTAGAACCAAAGAGCAGTAGCATCTCTGGAACAGAAAGATGAATTGTCCGACTGACAAGTTGATGGATTGCGCTCTAAATAGCCAATCAGCTTTTTTTTTTTCATGTCCAAGTTTTATCAACACAGCATGGTTTAAACATCCAGGAAACACCAAACAATCCATACACATACATGCACGACATCAAAGTACATTGTGTCAGAGCAGCTTAGTGGTGAGAATGAAACAGGAGAGTTGTTTTCTGCAAAGATGAAAGGCCAAAGAAAGCCGCACCACATTGTCAGTCTGCCCCATTGTCAGGTTCGAGTCGAGATATGCACACTGACTACTTTAACCCTCCCATCTACACAAACAATACAAGCAAAGAAGTTGCTCAACTCTAAGTATCAAGACCATAATAGGAGACTTTGTTTAGAGGGAAAGCCATTGAGGAACCTGAGACTCAAGAAGAGAAGAGACGGTTGGGAAGCTGAGAGTATAAGAGCAGCGTGTGAAGGATTAGATATATTGTTTAAGTTTTGGTGTGACAATAGATGAGAAATAGATCAAAGAACGGGTCATCAGGAGTTACTAAACTCTGTACAGCGAGACAGGTCAGTAAAGACTCGGCACTAAGTTACCCTCCTCTGCTGGTTTGCTAAATTACTTCCTATGACATAAACTGGAGTTAATTAGGGTAAAAAAAAAAGTAACCCAGTTTCCAACTTGAGCAAAGTGGTTATGAAGTGGAACACAGAAGACCCTGTTGCCATGGTGATCATAACATTGTTTGATCCAACAGGTACTGAATAGTTGACAGAGTGGAAAGACAATGTGAGCTGCTGTGTATAGCAAGCTCAGTAAGCTCATGTCTGATTACACTGAGAAACCACAGCATGGCCTGGTTTCACAGTTAATAAACAGCATAGTAGCATGAAATGTGACTGGCAAAAAAAAAGTGAACACAACATTCAGTGTGTGTGTGTGCCTGTGTGTGCCTGTGTGTGCGTGTGTGTGCGTGTGCATCACAGCTGGCCTCTCGCCATGTCAGGTGAGGCCCACAAGGTAGTTGTGTGGGTGTAAACTGAGAAATTTGAATGTTCCTTCTAGAGCTGAGACAAAATACTAACATGGGACAAAAGGCTTGAGAACAAACAGACAAACAAAATACTTTCCTTGAGCAGTTAGAAAAAGAGTTTTGAGAAAACACAGCCCAGGTGTTTCAAACAATATGTGCCAAAGAGAGGTGCAGATGTATCGCAGATAGCGAGGGAACAAGAAAAAATAGCAGGAGAGAACAAGACAAGCAAGCATGGATATATAGCTCCCAGATGTCATTGAGATGAAGGCCATTTGTGGTATTGCACTGAGAAAAGCAACATCACCACTTCTCATTGACAGCTGCTCGACAATACAACTCCAGCATGCTAATACCCCCTATCCTCCAAATATATAACTGCAACAGTTTCCGTCACCATAACGACTCTAACTCATCAATACGTTTTGGAGTGGGGGTGATTCACTGTCTCGCCATGTGTTCATTTGCTACATTGAGTGTATGAAAGGTACAAAAAAAGAGTTTAAGCACACACTGAAGCCCCAGCAGCATTTCAATCAGCCATGCACCTCTCCCAGGCATCAAAGACTGCAAGAAAAAAAAAAACCTTACACACCCTTATAAACACACAAGCACCCTGCACTTACCCACTTTTGTGCACACTTACACAAAGACACGACGTTCTCACAAAACTCACTCACCCACACTGACAATCGTGCACACAGACACACACACAATTACATAAGCACCCTAGGAGTTTGGCAGAGAAGAGGCAAAAATCAGAGTGGGAGGCCAGGCACCTGGATGAACAGATTATGGTCTAAACCCCATCGGAGACACATAGATGATCTGCCTCAAACTTCAATTTTTCTCCCCAGTGTGGGCCCTGGCCCTGTGCTTGCCTGAGGAGCTCTGCTAACCTCACTGACCTTGGCTCTCGAAAGCAGTCAAAATCAGCTCATCATTACTCTACGCTAACTGCTCAAGACCTCTTGTTGCATTTAATGACAGAATACGTAGAGCAAAGAAGCATTCATGTGTGAAATAAGGAGGCAGTTTAGTGTTTTTACACAGCAAGAGCATACTCTACTGAACACTACATTTAGAACATTTTGCTTTCATTTTCTGTGAAGTTGTTAATATTGGCGTCTCTACATGACTATAATATTTGGCGTCTGGCTGTGTATAACATTGTCTGAACGTCCAGTGCCAAAATAAACATGTTTTGACCCCAACTCCCATCCCACTGTCCATGTCAGCCTTTTGCAAGTCATCATTACAACTGGGCTCATCAAAGACAGCCTTATAGAGGTCAGGAATGTCTACTGTCAACTCAGCCTTGTGTTTATGGGGCTATAGCACCACCTGGTGGCCAGTAAAAACTGATTATTGATGCCTTACACTTAAAAGATGTGTTTATCATTTAAAACATCTGAATATCACTAAATGACTCCAGTAGTAAGACTAAAACAATCTAATAAAAAACGCTGAGGCCAACCAAAATATCTGACTTTCAGTCAAATTATTTTACAATTTACAACAGGCCTGCTCAAAACATGTTGTGCTGAATCCAGACAGCCCTAAGCAGCCAATGAGAAGCAGAGCAGCCAATGAGAAGATTGTTACTAAGAAGACAAACATGTGTAAACTTGTTTACCATTTTAAGTGATGTATGTCTATAAATTCTACCTTAGACCGATTCATAGATTGTTGTTTCTTGTATGTGACGTCACAACTGAGCGACAGCATAATTGCTGAGCACAAGTGTTTGTGGCGGTCCTGGATATACAGGGGACCTCACATTTTCAAGAAGAAGACGAATTTCTGCCACACTTGTGTCACAAACACATTTCCATAAGAATAAATGCAAAAGATTAAAGACAGAATTAGATCTGAAAAACATCTGCTGCTTCACATGTCTTAGCCTTTGCAGAAGAAGTAGTTGGGCACAAAGTATGATTCAAGGTCTGCATCAGTGTCTATTTTTTTTAATCTTTCACTCATCTTTCACAAAAGCAGGTGAAAATAGTTCAGTAATAAGCTTTAGGTGTCAATCAAAATAGAGTGTAGTTTGGTCCAGATACCTGAATGTGGTGAAATCATTTTAGGAAAATGATCACCAAATTACATTACATTACAAATTACTATTTCCAACACTTACAAAGAGGCTTGAATTGATTAATATTAAACCAAATTATGCGTTTCTGTAAATAATATGTAATGGCTTCGTTTCCAGACAGTGAATGTGGTGTTGTCATTGTTAAACCACTTAACCGGAAACAGCTCTCAGATATTATTTCTTAAATTAACTCTTGATTGATACACAACGCCTGAAAGCTAAAAGTATGGGATAACATGTCAGTGGAGTAAAGGGATTGTGTTTCAATGAATAACTCACTACAGAATGATAGGAAAGAAAAACTTACTCCATCGGAATCCGAAACTGTGCAGTATCAAGAGGCTGCTCTTTTCCTGGCCTCACAAGAGTCAGAAACCAGTTTGGTCTAAAGATCCTCAGCTGAGGATTTCCCAGCTGGTAGAGAGGGTATCTAAGATGAGAAGAACACTATTCAAATATACAGCATTATCTACAATCATACAAAAAAGGAAAATATAGTACAAACTGTACGAGAAAACTTGTATCCGTATTTTGGTCATCTTTGGTAATATACATAATATACCCCACAGCATATGTAACTTACATACATGCCTCCTAGACTACACAAATCCCACTCTCTACTTTGAGTTACTGCCCGTGAAACCAGCTGTATGCATTCATTATATTTTAATCATACTACAATCTCCATTGAAGAACCGTGGTTATATCACTCAAAAGCCAATTGAGCAAGAAATGAGTGAAGACACAGGTGAGCAACTTCCCCTTCAATAGAACGCTGTAATGACCTCAGCGTCATGGTTACTCGCATAGTTACTGAACTACGACTATGGCTGCATGTTTACGGCAGTTTGTTTTTAGCTTAGCTGGCTAATGCTTGCTACTTACATGCTGCACACAATTATAAAGCGTCACAGGGACAACATGAATGTAGAATTTAAACGCTGTAAAGTCGTGTAATGTCAATAAAAGCATGTGTCCATAGCTACTTCCAGACAAACAAGGAAACTGCAGGACATGCTAACGTCAGCTGGGGTTGTAGTTTAGCAAACAGAGAGATCACTTTAACCTCTTGCAGGGCGTACCTTTACAGAAATGAAACACCTTGTTACTTACAATAGTCTTGTTACTGGCATCTCTGCTACGACCGGTTAAAAGACATAGGTTGCGAGACTAGTTGTCTTGTAGTTCTTCTTCTTTGGCAGAAATGTCTTGTAGTCTTTTCAAGGTTGTCAAATATGCTACACGTGCATGGATGTACTTCCGGGGGCCCTCACGAAGCGCATGCGCACTGCATTTGTTCAGTGCCATTGAAGAAAAGGTCCTTTGAATGTGATCAGCGTGCTTATCAGAGTCTCGGAGCGCTGTCGATACTCATGTCAGATTTTAATTCATGGTTCAAAACTATTTGTTGCACATGGCCTGTTCAGCCCATTAGACCTTTACACGTTTAAGGTTTCAAATTAAAATATATGCATGGAGATTTTAAGGACAAAGGTCACAATCTACAAAATCTGAAATAAATTAAAGAAATGTTTCAGTTTTAAATAGACCTATGAATTATGTATTTTAATAGTGTCCTGGAATTGGGGTAAGTACCATAGACTGTAAAAATAAGTACACATGGGAAAGGGTTTTTTTTATACACTACTCTCTCTTTCTACATGCAAAAATATAAATAATAGTAATAGTAATAATAAATAATCAATCGACTCATCTATCAGTTAATGCTCTGAAAATCAGTAAGCAGTTTTTTATCTCCTCTGACAACAGAAGAGTTGTGTGTCTTTTTTTTAAGGATTGGTTTCAATATTCAGACTTTTCTGTGAGTATTTTCAAAGAGCAGCAGAGGGAGACCTCGTCCCGTGTCTCCTCAGACCCGGTGCCCCGGTGACCTCACACATGCTACGATGTGCATGCCCGGGGTAAGAGTGATTGAAGGCACCCCTGAGTGGAACATGAGTCCTTTGCTCAGCTGGTTCAGAGCTGGTAGGAAATGGACCACACTGACAGCCCACAAGGAAGTTTCCATCAGTTATTAAGAGGCCATGAAGTGTGTGTGTGCGTGTGTGTGTGCGTGTGTGTGCGTGCGCGTGTGTGCGGGCGTGTGTGTGTGTGTGTGTGCGCGCGTGTGTGTGTGTGTGTGTGTGTGTGTGCTGGAGTGCAGTTCAGCATTCGATTATTACGCAGTAATGTGTTCTTCATTCGGCAAAGCTATTTTTCAGAACATGTTGCCATTCGTACAGATGTTATGGTGAGGATTTTAAATCTCTGAAATAGGAAATTATCTCTACTAAATATTATTTTATTTGTACTTAAGTGTTGCTTTGGGTGTAGTTCACCTGGCAGCTGATAAGAGCGTGTACTGGTGATTAATAAAGGTGGTGACGTAGAAGAAGGTTGCATCCCAAACATATCCTATAGGTACTAGGTGCAATAGTTGATGCATTCAATGTCGACGCACAACATAAGAGTGGTGGTTTCAGACTGAAAGGTCACAGGTTCAAATCCCTAGATCAGCTGGAAATAGCCTTTCTTTAAAAAAAATGGTTCCTGCAGCTGGTGGAGTTGCATCCTTCTACCTAGCTGGTACATGCATAAGTAGTCTATGATCAATCAGCCTTAACACAAACAATGTTGGATTTCTAACATACTGTAGTAAATATTCACTTTTAAAGAGCTTATAATAAAAAAATGATGTTGTCATCCCAAGACATACAGTACAAGCTGTAGAAATCTAATAAATAGCATGTGATAAAATCAATACTTAAAGAAATGCATTTACAAGCATGTAAAAATGATTTTATCAAAAGGCTGAAGTAGAAAATCAAACAGGTGCATTAAATGATAATGGATTAAATGCAATTCAAGCATTATTTAGACACTCCATGCTATTATTGCATAGCTGACACAAATTATTACAGGAAATGTGTTGATATAAACATGTCTGACTGGATTCAAGGTGGATATGTTTTCGTTTATGGTTGCCACTTTAAACCTACTGTATAGGCTACAATGGCACTCCAGCTCTTTTTTATGAAATGCATATGAAAAATATTCTTAGAAAAAAGATGTATTAAAGTCTAAAGCCGAGGCAAATGATGGTATTGAGGTCAATTACCACATACCTATGCCCCTCATCTGTAACTTTAACTGAAAAAATGAGTTTTCTCTGGATGCAATAGCAGCAGACGCTTGAGCTTGCAGAAAAGGTCTGAGAGGAGAGGAGGGGGTCAGCAACATGAAACGATTCAACCTCCAGCCAAATGTCTGGTCTCACACTGTTGTCCAACTCTGCCATTTTTAGAAGCCATTCAAGCCTATTAGTGAATGCACTTGGTTCTGCTCGAGGTGGAAATTAAAGTTCCGTTTAGTATCACTGGTTGCCATAATATTGGTTCATGGTTATTGAGGTTTTATTTCACTTCAACTGACTGGGCACAAAGCATGTGAGAGCTCAGCTGCTGTCATTACTGCTAAAATGTTCTCTTAATGAAAACGTATGATTTGTCTGTGGTTCAGTTTTGCAGAAGGACAATAATCATATATCTTTTGAAGCTAAAGTGCATACATGTGCAAACATATGATATGTCACACATGTAAGTATGCATGCACATAAGTTCACACTACTCTCAGTCGATCATGTATGGTTAATTTTGTGTTCCATCAGCAATCAATTGTTCATTTTACAATGATAACTCTTAAAAATGAATTGCAAAAGGACAGTGTGCAGAAGTTCTCTCTTCTCTTGATCCATGAATTTCGTTCTAGTATCTCTCTGCTAGAAAATGAAGGTGTGCACAGACTAAAAGAATACATGTATTTTGGGGTGCCAGTGGCCTGCATTGTGTTTGGTTCATGCATCCAATATGCAGAGTCTGTGTTCCTTGAAGCGGGCAGCCCAGGTTCAAATCCGACCTGTGGCACCTTTACCGCTTGTCATTCCCTACTCTCTCTCTTTCCCTGATTTCTAACTGTAGCCACTGTCCTGTCTTAAAAGCACAAAAAGCCCCAAAATAAATCTTATAGTAAATAAATGTATTCAGCATGACAAAATGTAATAACAACTTAATTTCTCTTAACTCAAACCACTGATGTGTGTCTGTCAGTATGTGTGATAGAAGGAGAGGGAGCCTGAGAAAAGGAGAAACGAGTTTTGGAGACAGAACTGTAAGGAAGGTTCAGGTCTGGGGCAGTGGAAAGAGGCAGTTTGTGTCACCGTGCAAAAAGGGGGAGAAAGTAAGTGAGGAGGAGGAGAAGGAGGGAGAACAGCAGAGGTGGACCGACGGAAACAGTTCAGTCTACAGCGGTATTGTCCCGCCAAGAGCCGGCGCTGGGGCCGCATGGAAACTTTCCCCCTCCGACTCTCAGGCAGCCGGAGGAGAAGTTGATGGTATTGAATATCCTGAAGAAAAAAAAGGAAACGCTAAATTGAAGATCCAGACGTGAAGATGGAAAAGTTTGTCAGTTGAAGTGAATAGTTTTGTATGTAACCGATTTGCTGTCTTAGTGTTTCTTTCTGAAACCACTTCATCCTTCCACAAACAATTAATTAATTTGCTTTGCTAAAATAACTGATCGGGAATACTTGAGTATTTACCTTAGAAACACCTTACAAAGAGCCAAAGAGAATTGAATGACGGGAAGGTACAGAAACATGTTTGTAGAATAAGTGAGAAAACTTTGAAGTGAAAAAATCCAATTAAATAGTAACATTAACTTCTGCTGTCAAAGGTGAGGCTCACACAGGAGGAATGGCCTTCAATATGTTATGTTTGTTATGTACCACAGTCAAGGACGAGGCGGAATGTGTCAGGGGAGCTAACGGTCATGTTTTACCACAGTTCTTTGTAAAAACCACTCTCATCCTCTGTTGACAATCTGTTACAGATGCTTCAGAGATACAACACTGTGGGCATCAGTGGCTTGTTATCTATCAGCGGTTACTGAACAGGTCAATCAATTTATACTTAAGCTACCCTTATGGCATTGCTTTATGAATGGGCAAAGCTATTCTGTCCATTTTTTTGTCCACTACGTTGGTCTGGAATTAAATATCTCATCCACTATTGGAGAATTGAATGGATTGCAATAAATTATGGCACCAGCTTTCACAATGCCAGTAGATGAATCCCCCTGATTGGTAACCCAATGGGGAAGTACCAAAAACGGCAGTCCCTCAAGTTTAGCACGTAAGGCTACCTCCAAAATCTCTGACATCCCTTCTAGTGCTTTTGGAGGGTTACATTTATACACATGCCCTCCCTCATTTGAGTCATACAGAGCCTTAAAACTATGCATAATAAGGTAACTGACCACTTTCAGCTTTATGGCCACATTGGATGCTGCTAGTTATCCGTGTTATCTCATATATTCAAACTAGCCAGTGAATATATATGTCTGCAGAATTAAAATGCTCCCTTTGCTTCTTTGGTCTAATAAATTGAACAAACAAAAATAATCTCACTCTGGATAAGGAAAACATTAGCTTGTGCATTCCCCAGGTAATGAATTAACCAAGTACAGAGTGTTTAGCCTTGATAACTTGCTAACCTCTCACTCCTCTCCAGTGCCGCCCTCTTGTCCAAATATGGTCACTTTTAGCTCAAGGAACCAACACTGCAGTCCATAAGAATGCCAAACTCAAGGCTTCAGAAAAGTAGTCCAGAAAAACCAATGGGGGCTGGATGTTCACTGCATAGGTATTTAAACTCTCTGTGTTACAGCCTGAGATGCTAGCATGGCAGGAAACTCTCGTTTGGCTTGACAACTAGAAATGACACTGACAATAGATAGTGTTTTTAACAATTTCTGGTCTTTTGGGGATTTTAAGAGGAAGTATACATACTTGAAATGTGTTGCACCTCAATAGTTTTTGAAAGTAATAATACTTTATGACAACTTTGAACCTTCTCAAGGCTGAAAGAAGATGTAAGTCCACTTGACCCACAAAGCATAAACCATTAGTCCCTCTGCCCCACAGCAAATTAAACTCTTGCCCCTTTGCCATCAACACTAAATGAGTGGTCAGAGGTAGTGGCCAGTTCAGGTCAGATTCCTCTGTTTTTTCTTGTCCCATGTTCACACTCTCAGAAAGAGCGAGGGCATGCCACGCAGCAGTCCTCTACCTATTAATAGCAGCAATGGATGGAGTCAGGGGCAATCTCGATGGCTTGTAAATTTAGACCCCCCCCCCTCCCTGGACGTTCCGCTGATGTCATAAGCCTGACCTCTGACCTAGGAGCTTGGCTTGCACAAGGCCCACGTTGAACTTGAATTTCAGGGGTCTGAATGCAAGCATCCACACTCTAACTAATGCATGCACTTCTTCATTTACAGTGCATGACAATACATGCAAATTCTATTTTTAAAATGCAACTCGGAAACAGTTTTAAGCAAAGTATTATTACACAATTATGTCATTGAAGATGTTCAGTAAAATGTACAGTCTGACTGTTAGAAAGCTAAGACGATCACATGAGAGCAAGTGACACATTAACTGAGTCTGAAGCTCCTTTGACAGAAAGTAGTTTGTGTGCAGTGAGAAGTAAAGTTTGGTTTTCAGCAAGTAAACAAAAAACAACAGATGCATCTTTCTTTTAAATCGTAAAACGTTTAGCACCAAATACACTAAACGTTTCACCCTTTTTTTTTCTGGAGATCTTGAAATGGACTACAGTTAGAGTAGGGTGATTAGGTGGAGTTCTCACACAGGTTCCCACAGCCTTATCCAGTGTCTCTGTCACTGCCAGAGTTATGTGATGGATCGGGGGGGGACGGGGGCAACTGATCTTCAAGGTATGTCAGCCGACACTCTTGGGATATCTTGTGCACAGCACTGCAGAAGACCTTAACCTACAAGCATAACAACATTGTTGAAGCCTTGATTCTTCTTGTCTTATTTTTGGGTCTGATAAAGTTGTTGTTGGATACCAGTAGAGCCATGACCATGTTACTGTAAGAACAGTGTTGAAATAAATGGATAGTGACACTGAATTAAATGAGCCAATGTGATCTGTGCACAGTTCAGGTTTCAGATAGTCATGACAAAGGATCTGCTTCTGTGTGAGCTAAGAGTTTAGTGTTGCAGTTCTACCTTCTGTACATGAGCACTGATGCACATTTACTATCAAACAGTACGAGTTAAACAGTAGTCCAGCAATACTATGTCGACATTATAACTCCAGACACAATGGATGTTGACAGTTCAAATGCCAATGAATGCCACCTTCGACCAATCGCACCAGCACTCGCTACCCTTGAGGCACTCATAAACAAAATTCCTGCCCTCAAATGTCTTCTGCAGAGCGTATGAGTCACACAACTCATTAAACCTCACACTGCCTATAATAATGTTTTGATATATAACAACACACCCTGAATCTTTTCAAAAACATTTCCCGTATTTCTCCGCTTTAGATTTTTTATTGTTTTTATTTTTAAATATCCAAGCAATTACATGTCCTTTATGTGTGAGTAAAACTAATAATAAACCCAACACATATTTTACAGGCTCTTCTGGTCGTAGAGGTTTGATTAATGCATGTAGGTCATCCCCTTCAACAACCTACTGATGCGCACCTTTCCTGGTGGGATTATTATTTCATTTTTTTTAAATAAGAGGTTTTTAGAAACCAGTGTCTCAAATCTTCTATTGTATAATAAAGCCAATCCAATAACAAGTTGCAGTAATTGACCAAGATTGATTGTGTTGGCTTTTAAGCTACTCTTTGTGAGAGATTTTCCATCAGAAATCAGGACCAGAGCTGAAAGGACAAATATCTTTGGGAAGTTATTGACAGTAAGGTTTGCGGTTTAGTGTGATTAATTTCTTCTATGGGCCTATAATTTCAAGAGTTTTGGGCTTCTTGTTTCGTTGCACATTTATGTTACATGTTATATAAATAGGGATTGCTAACATGACTTTGACTGACATGACAAGATAATATAGTATATATTTCAGGATGGAACAACCTAATGTAAGCTTTAGTGACAAATGAAATACTTTGGTGAATTTAAGTGAACAGCACTGGCTCTGGAGCTTCAACAGGGATGTTTGCTGGATGATGGGTGATTCATCTCTCTTTGTAAACTGAGCAAAACTGTCTATACAAACAGTGCCAAGGCATTTAAAACTAGACATACAACCAAGGCCCTGGATCGAAACCAATTCTTCTAAACCCACTCAAATTCCTAAGACAAGTGGGGTAATTAATAATAGCTCAAATCTCTACGTCAATCTGATTAATAATCGTATTAGATGTGCCCAATTAAATGTAAGGCAAAGACAGACATGGCACTAGTCTAAAATATTCCACTTCTTTGATTCCCTACTTGTGGTTTCAAAATCAATTTCGGACATCTCTATTTGTTTTTTTTTTATGTTTAACACCACAAGATTTAAATTTGGATAAGGCTGGGCAAACCTTGCCATGCCCAATTGACGCGCCTGGCAGTTAACCAAACCACCGGATGACAAGTCTCCAAACTTTTTACGCACGGAGAGCGCACGGAGAGTTTGCGGGCACGCGTAGGGGGTCCCTCCCGTCCAGCCTGTCCGTGGCCTCCTCGCCTCGGCGGGTAGTTCCAGAACTGAGCCAAACCCTCCCGATCCCCCCATTTCCCTCTCTCTACCTTTCCCCTGAAGAAACAACCCGGTGTTACGTCAGAAAGTGCAGGGCAAGCAAGACAGCGTCTAGGAGCTATTCGTAGGCATTGCTGCCAAACCCGGCTTCGGGCTGCTCACGAGCTCTCTGCAGCCAATGCAATTGACAAATCCAACTCTTATAAAACAGCAGCAGTATGTGGTAAGTCAATTATTCATTCATACTGGTTTACTTCCCTTGGATTTTTGTTTTTTCTCACAGCTTTCTTCAAATGACAGGTCTCTGTTGCTGGCACATTTACGCAAAAAAAGCCAACAGTGTAAACGGTGTAAAGATAAAGAGTAGGCTGGTTTACCCTGTAGCCTCACTGAAAACACCATGACATGATGAAACAACAGAGATCTTTGACGCACAGAGATTTCTGCAGTTTTTGTGTTTGATTCTTTGCTGATCACAAAAAACAACATGCCCCACGCTCGAAATAGGAACCCTAGCCCCATCCCAGAGGTAACATGGGACACGGGATTGAAGGAGATGAACGAGACCTGGAAAGGAGCTATAGCGTGTATCGGTGTGGCCGTCTTCTTTGTCATGACAATCGGGATCATATACTGGCAAGTGGTGGACCAGCCCAACAAGAACTGGATCCTCAGGGGGACTTTTAGCGGACTAATATGGGAGAGACGGACCCACTCGCTGGTCATACAGACACTAACGGAGGACAAGACCTATGTGGAGATAGACGTCGGGAACGTGGGGAACCCAGACATAGAGGTTCCCTTTGTGAGGAACCTGTGCTGGCTCAATAAGACGGAGTTCTGCTATACGTGGGACTCTGTGGCGGAGGTGAAGATCTCACTGGAGGTGAATGAGGAGACGGAAACAGAGTGCTACAGTATGAGTTGGGCACCGGTGCACTGTCATGTGGAGCTGAAGGTAATGTTACACGAGCAGTGCACATACAGTCCACATTACGCTTAACAGAGTTCAAAATAGGAATATTCAATTTACAATGCAGTTGTTGCTTAAAATACTGTTTTGCACTTGGAGCTTTTTTATGCCTCAATTTGCAGTTTCTTCAGATTTAATTGGAAATGTCATTGTCATTGTGCATTGCAGTTATGGCATTTGTGCACGATTCCTTTTTTTTTTTTAGTTCGAGCCTTTTTCCTCTCATACAAATCGGTCAAAATAAAGTTTGTTGATCTGATCAGACTTGTAGGATACACAGATAAAATAGTAAATCATTATGAACTCATAAATAAGCTATTATCTTTTCTATGATAATTTATTAAATGCAAAAAAGATTATTTAATTTTTAATTTAACTGCTATATTTTGTTATAATTCAGTTAGATGATTAATTCTGCTCTCATAGTTCATTCAAAAATTGCATCACAGATTTCATGTGACGACAGTGCCTTTTGTTGGTTTTTTGAAACATAACTTCATACGCAATTCCATTTTATCGAAATATAAAAACAAATAAATGGCGCGTGCATGATTCTCTGATTTAGTATTTTAAAACAAGTTTGCATTATTCCCTCATCCTAAACCTTTTCGCACTCATCGGTGAAGCTGCACTAATTGGTATTTATTTTGTGTCAAATCTGCTTCACAGGTTGTTTTTTGCATGCACAGTACTTCCTGTACTTTCCCCCCAGCTTAATTATCAAAGGCATTTAACTATTGGGATGTTTGGGGAGGTTAATCTGTCCACACTGGAACATTCCTCTCTATAACTCCCTGTCATGTGGTGCGACTGCTCACAGGAACTCTTTCCAAACTTAAGTAGCCTTTATTTTCCTCCTTTCCCAAACCCTGCCTGATGCCTCTCAGGTGACCACTTGGCACCTGTTTTGAAACTCTTTAACAGAGCTCACATTTGCTGACGTTCACTAATTAAGATCCGTGTTTGCGCATTTGTCCCCACATGCGTAAAGACGCTTTGAGGAAAGACAAGGTTTCTCGCCGTCATTCAATACCTAGTGCGTGCAATGATGTCTAAGATAGTCTCATGTACCAGGCATCACATGAACTGCTTTGGGCCTTGCATTCCTTTACTGAAGTAACATTTACCTTAAATGAGTGTCAAATATTCTTTATAATATATGATTCTGAATATTTAAATTCATACATTGAAAACATAATCCATGTGTTTGTCCTTCATCTCAAGTCTGCTTTAAGCATCGAAGTGCTCTTGTTAAGTTTGACAAATATACACGAAATATTGGTGGTGGTTTGAATTTGTGTTAAATTCAATTAAAAATAAAACAATAAATGAAATTTTCTTCTATTTTCCTCACAATGTTTATTCCTAAACTCTACTTAAAGTCTTTATTCATTTTAGAAAATCTACAGTTTAAGATGAAACCTCCCCCTTTCCTTTCTTTATGTGCCACACTCTCTTCACTTTTTTTTATTTGTCTCTATTTGTCATTGCATTGTGGGCATCCCTTCAGGACTGTTTCTCCATGACCAATGTGTCCTGGTATGGTGGTGCCAGTGTCCGGGGTCAGACCTGGCCAATCAACAATCAGAACGCCACCATGCAGCCGTTCACTGTGAGCGACCTGAAGGACAATCCCTCGGGCTTCGGCTCAGCCCTGGAACGTTACTTCCTGGGCTCATCAGGTAAGATTTTATTGTGAATGGAGACCATCTCCTCAGCAGAGGTTTTCCAATCTTTGACATGACACATAGATTGTCTGTTTTCAACACTTGCATGTTGGTGCACGGAAATCTGACCCCACATCAGCGGGTGTACATTGTGCGATGTGAATCCCAGGGCAAGAGGGAAACCCTTTGGATGCTGTGTGTTTTCTTTCCACTGCCCCTCATGCACGTGTTTGAGCAAAAAAAACAGTCCCACTGCCTCTAGAACCACCATCCCTAAAAACACAACACTGCCAGGCTGCCCCACAAATAGAGTATAACATGATACTGTCTGCGGAACGTCAGTTTATTAATATGGAGATTAGACTACAAAGGGAAGCAAACCACCTTTGCATCTTAAATTAACTCTTAGGGATGCCGAGGTAATTGCCTTTTGTTTCTATTAAGAGAGTAGGTTGGATGAAGGCCTTGCTGACTCTTATAACTCACCAGGTTATTTTGGGGGGTGTTAGATTTTATCCTGGGGGCAACAGGGGGAGGCTGGGACCACTGGCGGATGTGAATAGTTAATGACTGATGAGGAACGTGTGGTGTGTTTGTGTGGTAGCGTTATAGCATTAACCTCGGGGACTTTGCTCTAAAGACATCTATGTGTGGTGTTGATTTCTGAGCTGCAACCAATCTGAATTTTTCTGAAGTTTTTCCATGAACATGATGTTTGTCTACAGCATATTCAGCAGGAACAGACAGAAAAACACTGTTTTGCATGCACATTGCGACATGAATGAATCAGTCGTCAGTTTTGATTTCATTAATTGTTGGCAGTAACCACATTCATTCTCATACTGCAGAAACAAATGTCGGTACTTTCACACACAAGCACACACTGATGCACTTTTGAAGATGTTATGTAACACAGCGGCCGGCTTAACAAGAGCCTCACATGACTTAAATCCTTCTCCACCTTGTAAGAGGACAGCAGTAGTGATCAGGACCCTGTAACCCTTTGTGTCTCTGTTCAGCTTTGAACAGAGCAGAAAAACACACACACACACACACACACACACACACACACACACACACACACACACACACACACACACACACACACACACACACACACACACACACACACACACACACACACACACACACACATGAGAAGAGATCCACAACAGTTAGATCGTTTCCTAGTAACCACTCAGAGACACATACTGTACATAGCCCCCAACATAGCAAACTGATGCTCAGCAATGACAACAATGTCTTTTGGAGCCTTAAAGGTACATCTAACATGATATCTTACTTAAAGTTCAAGGGTGTTTGTCTATTAGTTTTTTTATAATGTTTAAATTGGCCACAGATATAACTGTTTTCACAATTAAAGATGCATTTACATTTGCATTAAGCTGCTATCGAATTGGAATTAGGTAAAAAGCATAATGGATAAACAATTTGGATGAAGACAGAGAGGGCCGATGTAAACTATTTGTCATTCTTCTTGATTCTTCTTGGAAGCATCTCATAAATATATAAAAATTAAAGAGCCCTAAAACTGTCATGCTTTAGAGTTGGTTTCTGTGTGATTTTTCACAACCTTCATAAATCCAAAGTCAGGACATTTTCTGTATCAACGAGTACCAATCAATCAGATAAAAGTAAACACATGAAGGCAGTGTTCTTGAGTGTGCCTTATTTATTTTAACTTTGATGCTTAGTCATGAACTATTTATCACAATAATGATGGATTGGGGCACTGGATAGGCTTGTTGTTATGTTGCGTGCCCTATGTATGGAGGCTATAATCCTTGACTCTGTAGCGGCCATGGGTTTGGATCCTATCTCGGCCCCGTTCTCTCCTCACAACAATTCCTGTCACTATTCAGCTGTCCTATCTAATAAAAGTAGACATGCCCAAAAAATAACTTTAAAAATAAAATTATTGATATTGACATTTTTTTTTTTTGTAAAAAAGGTATAGAAAGCAGAGTGATATTTCTTGAAATCCTCCTCAACATAAACTTGTTTTCTTTATTCATAGTCCTGAGAGGATTGTTGGTTTGATAGAGTGTCAGAGGCTAAGAATTGATGCACGACTGTAAAAACAGAACATAAAAGAATAAAATAGATGTGCACATGTACATGACAGTACTGTTTGGTTCTGTTATGACGGATATATATTAGTTCAAAGTAGTATGCTGCCTGTTTGTGACTGCATGCACAACAGTCTTCCCTCTGTACCGACACCTTGTGTGGTCAAATCTTATAAGGAGTAGGATTTACTGTGTTTACAGACCATTTTGCATAATAATAAATAAGCCATTAATAAAGTACAGTTCAAGTTGAACAGACTCTTGTTTGACTTTTTATGTGGCGACCAGGGGTAATGCCAGGTATCTTTGGTCCTTGTAAAAAATATGAAACATTCATCTCCTCTGGTTGTGACCTTCATCTGTAGCGTTACAGTGAGAGCTTGGAGAAACCCTGGCCATGTACCAGTATATGAAAAGTTCACTTACAGTAAATCTAATGTCTCCTCTCAAACGGCATCAGGGCTAGTAAACTAGAAAAATCTAAATATCATATTGCACAATCTCCTTATTTCCATCAGCTCTGTCCAAAGTAGAAGTTAAAGCCTCTCATGTGAAACTGCAATAAAAACAAACAGCATGATGTTGCAGTTACAGTTATGTGTTCAGATAAATAGGATCATTATGGGAAACCGAGAGATTGTGCAAAATAGCTAAGTCTTAAGCAGATTATTGATTTCTTCCTAGTGTTGGCAGTGAAACGTTATTATATTTGCATGTAAACTGGCCAAATATAATTGAATGCAGAACCCCCAAGAATTTCAAATATATTTATTACATAGACTCAATATAATTCATATTTATAACCATATTATGGGTCAATTCGTATAAAGTGCAATTGCAGAAAAACATGTGGCTTTCAACTTCACACAAACAAAGTCATCTTTTATTAAGATTTAAACAGTGAATGCAATTTCACTTTGAGGAATTAAAAGATCTCATACTGAAATGAAAAAATTCCAAGTTCACATTTGAGACTGAAAAAAAATCTGCTTTGACCTCATGTTATCTTGGTGAAGGGAGCTCGACTATCCATGTTTGAAACCGGTCCCATTGCTCTGCACTTGTCTGTGCACCAAAAGAAGTGTAGTGATGCTCCCACTGAGTTTACAGTTTTATTCTGCGTATTAAGTATTAAGTTCATATGCCAAATCTTCAGCTCTGTTTCTGCACAGAAAATGAACTGCAGCATGTTTATGTTCCTCAAAACAGATTCATGAAAGGCAGCACTCCAGGCGTAATAAAAGAGGGAAAGAGACGCCACCCAGTGACTGTTAGCGACTTATTTTTGTTGTACATGTGAGCGAGTTGTATGTGCAGGAGACCTGTCTGCACTGACTCTAGTTAGTCACAGGAGCACATTATAAATGTGTTGTGGATTATGGGGCTGGGACTGATAACCTGAGAGGTCTCCTGGGGACAGTTAAAGCATGAGGGTAACAAAGAATAACAAAGAGCGACAGAGCAATAAAATGACTTCACACTGCACATAAACCCTGAATGAACCTGGATCAAGTGAGTGAACAAAGAGTAACAGAGGGAAGATGAAGCAGAAAAGTAAAAGGCAGAGAGATGGAAAAGACGATACATGCAACTGTGCAGTGGAGTGATATTTGAGAGTGTTGCCAACTGGAGAAACTCGTCATAGCCCCACCTGTCTTTATCCATACAAAAACAACATGGCTACTAAGAACAGACTAAAGATCACTGAAGCTACTTCCTGTGGCGAAAGTTGTCTCAAAGCTTTAAGGGCTTATTCCTTCATCTACTCAACTAGAGGTCTTTAGGATACAATGTCACAAGGTTGTATGGGCAAGTAGAAGACATGGTGGACTGACTGTCAAAATACCTTCACTTTGGAAAATAATGCCTGCACATCTCTGCAATCAGGTGCTGCTATTTCCCTTAGAAGAGAAACATTTAAGTTACTTACAGGGCATCTTTCCCAGTGTCCATACCTTTAAGAGCAAACTAAACACACTGATTATACACAAACAGTCAAATATGTATATATATATATATATACACATATATCAGCTCTATAGTATAAATTGAGGGCACTGTCCCATAATAAATAGTGATAACTTAGAAAATGGATTAACACTTTTTTCACTGATTTATTTCTGTTTTTCTAAATTATGTCCAACCAGCTGATGTAATATCTTTATTTGCATCTCCTTTTTACAATCTATATGAGATTGAATAAGTCTTTGAATACCATCATTTTTAATAACATTTTAGTACATTTTCTTTGCTGTGTAAGGAAAGCACTTCTGGTTGAAGATTGCTTGAAAAAGTTTAATTATTAAACTATTTGTGTTATTTCTTCGTCGTTTAAATTTTTTATTTTAACTGTATAAATTCCAGCCACTGTTTTATTTTCATTACTTATACTAGCCTACACTATTTTGCCACTAATGTTTCATTGCTGTGGCCTTCAGGATTACAGACTTCTATTGTAACACATCTGTCAGTGGCTTGAATGCTTGAGCCAGTCTTTCTGCTCTGAAGAAGTGACCACAATTTAACATAACTTCATAACTAAACAATGTTCATTGAGATCTTTGAACCTATATACATTTTATTACAATATATATTAAGAACCAATGTCATATTAAGATGATTGCACATTAATTATAGTGGAGTCAGAACATTGTTGCCATTAATAAATGAAAATCATCTTGAACTTTTTACTTTTGTTCTAGAAAAAAAAGATAATTTTCAGCATGGACAGAAAAATGTAATTAAAGGGGTCATATTATGTTTTTTCTGGTTTTATATGCTCTTTAGTGTGTTTTCCAAGTGTCCTGTGCATGTTTAGGCACATCTATGTGCAAAAATTCAAAGTCCGTGAAAACGCGGCTTCTCCTACGTCCTCCTGTTAGCTGTAGCATTAGCTGCATGTAACGCTCGGTTCTAGCCCCCCTC